TGATAATTGAAACAGGAACTCAGTGCAATTAATTGTATCATAAACAGGGTCTACAAATTTGTGTTTTTTTGTCATAAACAGGGTACTCCTTTCATAATCCCAGCGGAACACCCCTACCCAAAGCCTGACGGAGTACCCCCTCCCAGCTGTAGTTGTCATTGAATCAGATTTCAGACAGGTTCAGTTTCTAGCAGTAGAATTGAGATTCAACTACCAGGATCTATCCTTGAGCCAAAGATGGATGGGGAAATATTTGATTAAATAACTTGTTTAGTTGTATGAATGAAGTGTTACCCTTTCATTATTTTGTAGATTTATMTCTTAGTTTTTTACCATATTTCACTTTTTTTTCCTGACTAAAACATTCTTAGGCACTAGTTACTGCACACACAAGCACATGGCTATTATGAAATTATATATATATACACATATATATTTTCAAGATCTCTTCATATTTTGTTAAAGTAGARTGATACTCACCTCCAAGATGATCAATATAAGTTTACCCCCCCCTCTCCCTCCCCTAGTTTTACTTTCATGAACCAAAAAGTCCAACAGTATGCACATTTCAAAAAAAATTGTCAGTGCAAAATCTGGGGAGATCTGGGATTGAAAAGGATTTTTGTGGTTTTAAGTCTACAAAAAATCAACTCTATATTTTTTAACTAAAAGGCCATGCCTCATATTCCAATCTAAAAGGAAACTAGTGAGCTACTCAGTCTCAGATTTAGAGTGTAAGATCTCCAACTGACAACATTTTTTTGAATTAAGGTATATGGTACCTTGAAAATTCCAATTTCCTGAAGGGATGTTGGGCATTGCATGACTGATTTGTTTTACCATTTTTTTCCTTCACTAAAGAACAACTGTGAGAATAACTGTACTTGTCTGATGAAAGTGACATGGAACACGATATTATAAGAGATTTATTAAAAAGTCGCATGTCATTCACCGTCAATTTTATTGATTACACTTGCCTTGAGGCCATTATTTAAGCTGTGCATTCAAATACCATTAGTATAGGAACAGGCGCATCGCAATGAAAATAGCTAAATATTAGGTGTCACTGTTGTATCATGTGAAAATTTCCCAGCAGAATTGAATCAAGTTACATAGATAGAAGACAGTGTTTGCTCTTTCGCTGAAGACTCATAATGAAATTGTGACAGCTGATTGATACCAAGTAATTGCATCTTACTGACCACGACTTTGCTTTGAGGATCATGGAGAGCAGCCAGCTGCCAACAAAATGTTGCAAATGAATTGAAAAATCACATTTATCTTTTCCTATTATTTGTTTAGGTTTTCACATAATAATAATTAACATATACAGTATGAGTGGCTGTGTTGTATCATCYGATATACAAACTCGAGGCGTAGTGGAGAGTTTGCATATTGGATACAACACGGCCACTCATAYTGTAGATYGCTTATCAAACATCTAGGTTAGTTTGTTTCACTAAAATTTTCAAAATTCAAGTGAATCTGGCCAAGAAAATTCAACTTAAAGTTTATGCAAATGAACACGATATCTGATTTACAACACTATTCACGGTTGTGATTTCTGTTGTGTTTTCCTCATGAATTATTAATGAGTTTGATAACTTTATTTAAAGAGTGTAAAACGCTTTACACTTATAAACTGATAAACTAGTGGCCCTAGTTTATAACATATGCCCTAGTTTATAATGTATGTTTGGAAACTGTTACATGGTATTCCCTTTTTTAAGAATCTAGACAACCTAATGACAGTGACTTGAACCCCTGACCAGAACTGCTGAGACATAAGCAAGAAACTTGCATTAACCACACTGACAACATACAGTATCATCTACCCATCAACAAGCTACCGTTAATTGATACTCTACCAACTTGCTTTTTTTACCGACCTCCCACCATCATCCTAATGACATCCTACCAGCATCCTACTGAAAACCTGCTGACATTGTATTACCAACCTACCGTTAACCTAACAATATCCTACCAATACCCAATTGAATTTACCAACATCCTACTGTTTTGGGGTGATCATGTTGTAACACCACAACATCTCTCCCCCCCCCTCCAAAAATACACATACAAAAACTGGAATTCATGCATTATGCATAACATTTATTTAACCTGGTGTTAATAAATACCATTTCTATTCACAATCGTTTCATCATAAGAACAATATGTTCTACTGTTTAAAGTATTTCTTTTACAACTTTCACAATCACAAACCAACCTATCTAGCAGATCAACTGGCATAGATTTTAAACCCGCTCCATTTAAAATTACTATTCCTTCAATGCCAGTCAATCAAATGGCATGTTTATTAAGGTTTTGGTTGGTTAAAGCTTGATTGATCAAGCTTTATCTCTATATTTTTTTTGTTGTTGATCCAAAGGTGCAAAGCAACAACAAAACTCCCACAGGATTGCTGTGAAATTCTTGGCTTGAGCTTTGTACAGTCAACAGTTGACAGACATATCTACTAATATAACTACTTGCATTTTTTTTATATATAGTAATATAGACTTTTGCTTCATAAAATTAGCTTTATCATTTTATTCAATGAAAATAGTTGGCCTTTTTTCTTCTAAAAATTAATATTATTGATAAAATTGATATATTTATTTAACTATTGATTTACTAATATATATTAATGATTTATTGATATTGCTACGACTGCAGCAGTACGTATGTTCTGTGGCAATTACTGCTGAAAGTAGAGAATATGAAAACCCTGTGTTTATCATTGATAAGCTGGAGTGACTATTTAACCAGTGAAAACATAAAATGCATAATAATCTGTAGTAGTTTTCTTTCGTTTGCTACTAACTAGTACTAACTTAAATTCTAATAGTCATTTTTCTTTCACAGGTTAAATATAATCACTCTATGCTGGCTCACAACACAAACATAACTACCAATAAACTATAGATACTACTACGTGCATGTGAATATTTGCAGACAGCAAACAAACATTGCTATGAAACTTGTATTTGACCAATGATTTGTAAATTAATATACCCTTCTGCTTTATGCTTTTCTTGTTGTCTTTTCTTAATGTCTTAAGGATGTAAGACCTTACTAATAAAATTCAAAATCTATGTATATGCACCCTGAGGACAGAAGTAATGAAATGAATTACTACTGCCGACGACATGCATATATGTGGTCCTGCTCTTTTTACAGGTGGGAATTATTAATTATTATTATAAGATTATTAAWGTACAAGAGATACTAATGCCATTGAGATAATTCCAGCAACCATCATTAGAACCTGTTTGATTGACTCCCTGAAAAAGAAGCAGAAGTATTTTAGAAAATAGATAGAAATTTCACTATGAACCTAAATTCCATGTAAACTAGCAATCTACAATAACTAAGCCAACCATCAATTAATAGCGCAGCGCACTAATTCTAAAAATAGCTTAAAGATTCAGACAAACATTGMATTCTGTTTAATAGCTACAAGGATTATACGAACCGATTTTATTATTTTTACTTAAAGTTACAATAATAACCCAATTCGTAACTAAGATCAACTGCGATCGGCTGACAGTGAAAATTATCTGCTGTTAGAAAGTAAACTTGTAAGTTTTTTTGTCCAAATTTTGCCTTTGTCTTCATTTTCATATGACGTCACGGTTGTGCTGCGCTATTGCAATCTACTGTGACTTCTTGGCAATATATAATTTTGAATCAATTTTGAAAGCTTTGACTACATTGGCAGGTTAAGTTGTTGATAATATTGCTATGTTTTGTGATTGAATAGACCATTTTCAAATATTGGTGCGATACCACTTTATTCTTTACCTTGATTTCAGACTCATTTAAGGATTAACCTTTTATTTCAGGTTCAGATTATTCAAAAATACCAACAAAGTAAGAATGCACAACTACCACAACACAAACACTTTGGAATTCCACACACCTTCATTGGAACAAATGAAATTATACACATAATTGAGGCTAACCCAGCAACAGAGAACTCTGTATAAAGCATTTTCACATGACATTACAGTTGCCATGTTGGTGTACCAAAACAATRCATTTTCTATCCTCCGGGAATTGAAGTCTATTTTTATGCAAAAACCATGCAGAAAGTTTCTATTGTTTAGTACAATCATGTACACCAATATAGTTACCTCGTCAAGTAAATGAAAATGCCCGATAGCCCTTGGCACTTACATACCTTGGTCTCTTTTCTTCTAATAATTCTGGGATGATAGTAACCAATGCAATATAGATGAATCCACCTGATGTGAAAGGCAGTATCCAAGCTGTCTGGTCACCTGGAAAAAAACAGAAAAACACCCATTAAATCAATGCAGTTACAACTCTACAATGATTCTCAAGGGATTGATGCCACTGTGTGAAATTTGAAAAACTTGCCCAAGCTAAAGAGGTCTAAGTCTTCTATGCAACAGCTATTAGTGTCATCACACAACACTCACTCCCCTAGCTACTTAGGGGAGTGACCATTGCGTGACAACACTAGTTAACAGTTGCTGTTTAGCAGACTGAATTAAGTGGAACGGAATAAAACACAAACCTGCATGATCAGCAATCAGTCCTACAATAGCTCCTGCTAGACCACCAGAGGCTGTCACAATCTAAAATATACATGAAGGGTACAATAAATATAATGCATTATACATGAACAACCCTAAATTTAAATTTGGATTTTTGGACTAGCCTAAATATACACATGATTTGAACAAAATCATCATAAACTTAGCACAGAAATGTCCCATATTAAGATCTTGTACAATTCCACATTGTGAAAATGTTCGAAATACTAGAAACCAACCATTA